AGAGGAAGGAAAGAAAAAGAAAGAAAGACCAAAGAAAGAAAAGAAAGAAAAAGAGAAAGAAAGCCGATATAAGACGAATAAAAAATGATGAAGACAAAAAAAGAGAAAGAAACAAAGAAGAAAAAGAGAGAAAGGAGAATAAAACAAAAAAGAAAGAAAAGACAAGGAGGAGGAAGAAGAACAGAAGAAGAAAAGAAGAAGAAGAAAAAGAAAAGAAGAAAAGAAGAAAGAGAAAAGAAGGTAAAAGAAGAAAAGAAGAAAAGAAGAAAAGAAAGAAAAGAGAAAAGAAGAAAAGAAGAAAAGAAGAAAAGAAGAAAAGAAGAAACGAAGAAAAGAAGAAAAGAGAAAAGAAAGAAAGAAGAAAAGAGAAAAAGAAGAAAGAAGAAAAGAAGAAAAGAAGAAAAGAAGAAAAGACGAAAGAAGAAGAAAAAGAAGAAGAAAAAGAAGAAAGAAAAAGAAGAAGAAAAGAAGAAGAAAAGAAGAAGAAAAGAAGAAGAAAAGAAGAAGAAAAGAAGAAGAAAAGAAGAAGAAAAAGAGAAGAAAAGAAGAAGAAAAGAAGAAGAAAAGAAGAAGAAAGAAGAAGAAAAGAGAAGAAAGAAGAAGAAAAGAAGAAGAAAAGAAGAAGAAAAGAGAAGAAAAGAGAAGAAAGAAGAAGAAAAGAAGAGAGAAAAGAAGAAGAAGAAGAAGAAAAGAAAGAAGAAAAGAAGAAGAAAAGAAGAAGAAAAGAATGAAAAGAAGGAAAGAAGAAGAAGAAGACGAAGAAGACGAAGAAGACGAAGAAGAAGAAGAAGAAGAAGAAGAAGAAAAAGAAAAAGAAGAAAAAGGAGAAGAAAAAGAAGAAAAAAGAAGAAAAAGAAGAAGAAAAAGAAAAAGAAAAAGAAAAAAAAGAAGAAGAAGAAAAAGAAGAAAGAAAAGAAGAAGAAAAAGACAAAGATGAAGAGGAAGGAAAAGAAGAAGAAGGAAAAGAAGAAGAAGAAGAAGGGAAAGAAGAAGAAGAAGAAGAAGAAGAAGAAGAAGAAGAAGAAGAAGAAGAAGAAGAAGAAGATGGAAGAAACCACAAAGTAAATGTACTTTTTACATTTCTAAAAAATATTTTAGTCTTTAAATTGAAATTAAATAGATTTAATCTCTGATTGGTAATAATCTTTTGCATTCTTTTTTTTTAGTAAAATAACCCACAAGCTTTTAAATGAGGTTTCAGCAACTTCTCTAGGTGGTCTGGGACCCTTATTTAAAGATTGCCCCAACTTAGATATTGATCCCTCAAGCTTTCAAATGAACTCCCAATCACTTCTGCACTTGATCTGGAGCCTTCACAAGCAGACCAAAGTTAGGTATTTATTTAGATCTTTGTGTATCATGTTTAACATAAATACAATTCAAATTGCACTACGTTTTCAAGTTAGAGCTTTTGTTAATGTAACATAAGCACTCAAAAAACTGAATAATTAAATTGTAATTCATAGAGAATATATATTCTATTTTTCAAATGTCTTAAAATATTTACCTGAACTGCACCTTTTGACCACGTTACAGATGGTGGTGGATTTCCAAATGCATCACATTTGAGAGTGACATAATTTGCTTCTTCAGCAGTCACAATGGAGTCGGTTTCTTGAATGTATGGTGGTTCACCTACAAAATCAATTATTTTCTACAGAAAAAAGATACAAATTTGATTCACGATCCTGTACATGGAACTAGTCTCACTCCTGGAATGTTGTCAAACAAGAAAATAACAAAAAAAATTAATTAATGATGGATTTATAATATTTCTTGTATTTAATGATTATTAAAAAGCATTGATCCTTGCATAATCATATTTCTAAGACAACGGAAAGTTTTAATCTAAATTTTTTCAAAGAATGAAATTGACTTAAATTTTTCATTTTCCGTATATGAGAAAAGTTTAATTTTACGTGAAATAAAAATTCTTTTTATAGTGAGAGAGATAAAAAAATATTCAAAGGAACCAAAGTAAAAATTTAAAAAGGATTTAAATGAGATCTGTTGTTAAAACAACTTAACACATTTAATTGGTAACTGAAGACTAACACCTTATCATGGAACAGGTCTTGTGCACTACTGCACCCTATAGGGGAACCGGAGGAAATGTATTTGGAGACAAAGTTCCAAAACCTGATAGTAGGTAGCTCTGGACATCCTGCAAGGACACATTTCAAAACTGTCATGGATCCCGAGCTGTGTTCGCAGATAGCTGCCATTTGCATGTCCCAAATTGCAATTTTCACGACTCCAAAAGCATTGCACTTATGGCAATGCCATACTTGGCTACCCTGTAATAGGACACAGTTCTCGAATGCCCTTAATCAATGAAAGGAAATATGGAACATGAAATACTATGTTTGCGAGTTTTTTTAATTCTGAAATTGGAGAATAACATGGCGAACAACTACTTGAACATCAAATACTACACAGAAGGAAAGATGGATGTGTATTATTTGGGAGGGCAGTGCCCCTTGAACCTCCCTGCCATAGCTGCTGGACATATTCCTTTTTCATATTTCATTTCACTTGTGAACTGCTCAGAAAGGAATGAAAATTTACCATGTTTCGAATTCCAGTCACAGCCAAACTTCATACCAAAACACCCCATCTACTATGTTCTTTCCACCCATAAGTAGATTCTGCTCACAAACATATAAATCAAGTCCTTCGACCACTGCACACTCCTCCATCTGCGCTGTTTTGAAAGTGCTTGTTTAAGATGGCATTGCTTACTCCATGCCAACACTCAATCTCAAAGTGCAATTCTAGCAGAAAAATATCAAACTACATTGTCATGTGGAAGCAAATAAGGTATTTATCTGCCGCAAATCTTAGGTGAGTAAAAACAATGTTTGCTAATTATAAGGATAAAGTATGTTATACATAGAGGAAAACACTTGCAACTTAATAGTGTAAAGATGGGACCGTAAAATTTCCTTTATTTAGAAACTTAATAAAAGAGTTCCTTACTAGAGAGTGTACATATTTCTTTCACATACCTACAGTTGGGGGAGGTTTTGCTGGCCTTGAAGGGGTAACTGTTATCGCAGGGCTTACACATGATGATCCACAACCATTAAAACAGCATTTGAAATCTTCTGAACAATCAGCATCAGATTTGCATTCATCACTACAATTACCAGGAACTGATACTTGTTCTGGACAATGTCCTTCTTTACTTGCTACAAAGGAATTAAAATTAAACCATTAATAAAATATAAACGAAACATTATATTCTTAGCAAGAGGAAAGTTGCTGATCACAATTACGAAAATATTTATATAGGGAGTCATTACGTACTGTATCTGCAGGTAGGACGAAATGCTGTTTCTGAAGTGTCTGGGTCACGGTACAGATCTATACCACAACTTGTGCCTTCTGGACATACAATACCATCGCAAGGTTCAAAACAATAACAAACTTCACAGTTGTTGCTATCAACAGATCTTGTAACACCATATGGACAGTGTAAGTGCTTGCATCTGTCAGTAGCTTCTTTGCAATGATCTGGCACCTCGCCATCTAAAAATTTTAGATTTTGTCATTTAATTGACATATTTCTTTTTTACATACGCTTCCCTGAGTGAGATAACTTGAAAGAATATTAATTACCACTATCAATACTAATTGCAGACATTTGGGGTAACAGGGACTTTTCTACATTTGCCTACTATTGACTACATTTGCATACATGCCTGTGTTGCAAAAGAACTTTCATACAAACAATGCCATAACTAAGCTGGAACAGAAGTTCAATAACAATTGCTGTATAAAAAAATTACATTCACAATTCATTAGCATAATTTGTGAAAATATGAGTAAAAATTAGTTCTTTGCTACAAAATTCATTGCAAAATCTATGAAACTGAATGTTTAATAAATAAATTTTTTTCACTTTCCTACAACACTTGATAGACATTCTACTTTGCAAAACAATGAAGCAATGTACACATGGATTCTAAAAAGCATAATCACAGCATAGCATAATATCTTTAACACACACGCCTTTGCATAAACAGTAATATGAAGAAGCCCAGTGCAAGTTTTCAGTGCATAATGCAATGTGCGAGTGCAGATATGATGTATAATTTGTGCATTTTGTGCTGTGTCAAATCTTAGCACATTGAGAACACAATCTCACTTACAAGAGCTTTCTGAAACAGTAGTTTCTTGAATGAGAACAGAACAGAAACTTAGACAGTACTGAAAATTCTTGAAACGATTCAGATTTCCACCACACCCAGTGTAGATAAATGGGATGCAAGTTCTACGTTCTTCATCAAAGTACCACCTCTTATAGTGGCCTCTTGGACAAGGCCCTGAGTCTACAGGCTGTTTACATATGGCTAAAGGACAAATTAGGAAAAAATAGTTTGCAAGAAAATAGTGTTTATCCAATCACTAAAAAGAGACATGTTTAAACTCTGAAAAAAATCCTTTTTGATTCAAGACGTTTGCTCTTGACAATCTGCAGAAAAATAGACTATACTTTGAATTTTACAGTGTTACATTTTCAAGAAAATATTTTCTAACAAAATGTACATTATTCTCTCCATTGATGTAATGGATCTTGAGTTGAGTCATGGTAACTATTTTCTTTTACCATTCACACACCAACAGTGCCAGAGCTGGACAATTTTGGAAATATATTCTAAATAATAGTTTTAAGTAAAAGTATTTAGTGATCAAATAATTCAATTTCCATGGTGAGCTTAAAACACTAAAATTTGTTGTTGTTTAGTTAGTGTTTAATAACATCACTTGTCATTAAATACATGAAATAACAAATATGAATTTCAGTAGATTTTTCGACATTTTCTGAATTTTTCAGTTTCCTAATTGTAGGGTGGAAATATTATTTGAAGGTTATTAAAGGACAGTAAAACATTGACCTAAATGGCAATTTTCTTCAAAAAAATTTGGAGCCGGTTTTAAAAAACTACCATTTAAGCGCCACTCTAAATTCGAAATTTGAAGCACTTTTTCACAGAAAGTGCTTGAGGTTTTGAAAAATTCATTTCAAGTCATTTTAAGTACTTTAACTGACAAATCCAATAGTGTTTACAATTTTTTGGAAATGTGCATAGTACCGTTGTGAGAGATCTTCCAAAATTAATGCATTTGTATAATTTTTGAAAAATAAAAGAGCCCTGAAATAAACTTTACCTCATATGAAAGAGTGCAATTGTCACTACCCTTTTTAAAAGTTTGAAGAAAACATATTGAGCGGTTTTTGAGAAAATGACGTTTGTGCATTTCTGAAAATGTGGAAATTTGAGCTAGTTTTCACAGAAAACTGTTGAGTTATTGAGAAACTTTATATGACATTATTTAAGTGACATGTACTCATAAATACAATAATTTGAGAATAGAGCATTATGATGTTTATGTCATCTTATAGAGTGGATTTAACACTATGCCTGCCAAAAGTTTAAAGAAAAAAATTGACCTTTTCTTGTTTTTGTAATTTTTTAAATTGCTCATAGTGCATGCAATATTGTGTGAAAACTACTAAAATTTTCAAAAAAAAGAAAAGTACATGACTTTAATGAAAGATCTCACTGCGGAGAACAAATTTTATTTGAAAGATACAAAATATACATTTAATTTTGTAGTTGTAGGAAGACACTAAAAAAATTCATAGTTTTAAAATTTTCAAAAATTCAGAGTATACCATTTTTTTAAATTTTGGAAAAGTCCCAGGGGCTTTGTGTAAAGTACCCCGAAATTAAATATTGTTTTCAAATTGAAGGGGCTATGACCCATGACATCAGCCAGATCAATTGGAAAATATCAATTTAGGAGAAAATTGGCTGAACAGTTTTGCCACTAGCATTGTTCACATATAGATGGACAGTCAGATGTTTTGCTGCCAATTGATTTTTCAGTGTCAAGCGCTCACAAAACATGGACTTGGGCTACACATGTTTGCCCCCCCCCTAATTTAGCAACTGGATTTATTCACTTTTTGTTACCAGGGCCTGGCAATAAGAGTTTTTCTGGCAAAAGTTCACCACTTTTTCCCCGCAGCATCACATAATTTTCTTTCTACTGCGTAAGTGGTAGCAAGAAATTAAAACGTGGGATATAAAAATATACAACATGACTTTTGGATATATTTTCTTTTAATTATTATTTCTGCACTTTTGAAGTTTTCTTAAATATCAATTTTGAAATTTAAAAAATGAATTATGTTGTCATTGACATAAAAGTAATCTTAAAAGATACATTTCCTTACTATTCTGCCATACTTTGTTGTAAGCACATTTAATATTCACTTTATGACATTTTTATTTTTATGTTTTGTTATCATTGTGTGTAACCTAATATTTATAAGAGAAGTGTTGACTAGAGTGAACTAGTATTATAATTAAATGATAAAGCCAATGCAAATGATACAACCTTTGTAACTTTATGGTTAACAGAAAAAAAGAAGTAAATAAATAATGAAACAACAATGAAATAAAATACCGAATATGACAATATTATTGCTATGGAGTGGGAGGGGTTCCTTATACCCATGGAGTACTTTAAATGTTGTCCTAATTTCTTCTAATAAATGATGACATCCTTGGATCAAAGTATTGTGCTGTTTTGTTATTGAAATGGAAATAAATGTTTTAGCCTAATAGGACTAAACATGAATAATACTATAACTTTTCTTAAATTCAATTTCCTATCCTACATAAGTATATTTTTAAGATATTTCATTTTTTATCTTATCTTTTGCCACTTCTAAATTTTGAGCGTATCTTATCACACTGACAAGAAAAAATAGTCACCATGCTCTATGTCCTAGTCTTCAATTAGAAAAATAGTGTTTGTCAAGAATAATATATATTTTCATTCTGTACATGTTTACTAAGTTATAAAAATTTAAAAATGTTTATGCTCCAAAAAGTTTCAAATACTTACTTTATTTGTTGCATCATGAAGGCACAGAAAAATTGAAATTAATTGTAAATCATCAACCACTACAATACCAAGGAAACTATATAGATAATGAAATAAATAATGCAAGAAATGAAGCAATACCTTTATTTGTTTGAACAGTGTCATTTCCAGGTGGCAGTATTTCCTCTCTGCGGAAACACACTGATTCACATTCTTCAATGCTGCTGAATCGATTACCATTACCATAACAACCTCCATACTCAAAGGATTGGCATCTTCTGGATTCTTGGTCAAAATGCCACTTCTGATACTTGCTTTCACATGGTCCAACCTCATATGGAATATTGCATACATCTACAAAAGAAATAAACTTAATATTTTTATGTATAGAGAAAGGTAGTTAAACTCCTTTAAGAAATATGTAATGTTTCCAACAAAATGATGGCACAGAAAATACCTTGGCCTTTGAATTCTCCACACTGTCTTTCACATTGCTCTTCGGATTCAAATCTATTAGCATTTCCTCCACAACCTCCATAAATAAATGCCTCACATTGCCTCTTTGCTTCATTAAAATACCAGTTGGTAAAAGCTGCTCTACATGGACCTTGATCTACAGGAGCACTGCAAATATCTGTAGGTTCTACTTCATTTATAGCAGGTGCTTGTGTTGATAAAATAAAATCAACAGGTGGAGCTCTTCTACAATATTCTTCACATTGTCGTTTATCGTCAAATCTATTTCCATTTCCTTGACACCCTCCATAATCAAATTCTAAGCATTCTCCTGTAGCTTTTTCATAGTACCACTGACGGTAGTTACCATTACAAGGACCCACAACTCTTGGCAATTGACAAATATCTAGAAATCAAGAAGTAAAACAAGTTTTCTGTTATTCATTTCAACAATGAATGTTGCATAATAAAATAACACAAAAATCCCATATTTGATAATATTTTTTATAAGCACAAACAATTTTCTCATTATTTTAGTCTTTATTTATGTATTGTAACTATCTGCTTATTTACTAATAAAACAGTTATGAATAAGAATAATAAATAATAAGATAAATGTTTGAAATGAGTGGCCCAAATTGAACGGGTTAGTACAAGTTCCCCCTTACATTATGAGAAGCATTTACAATAGTTTGATTATGCAAGGCTCTAGATACTGTTCTTTCAATACAATAGAGATAGGCAACAATTAATTCAAAGTGATGATTATCTATAAATTGAAATAATTTTATTGATTAATCAAATTAACTTTTTTTATTAATTGATAATAATTAGATTGGAGGGAAAAATATCGCTTAATTTACATTTGTTTAAAAAAATTTCAGTGGACTGTACAAATTTAATATCTTCATTGTGATGAATTTAAAATTATATTGAATAATGTATTTAAAATTATGATGAATAACATATTTCATAATAATATATAATATTATTTTGAAATATAATAAAATATTTCAAATTAATAAAGTTCTAATATAATTCTGTTGGTAATGGAAATATGCTTTGGGAAGAAAGAAACAATAAGTAGTACAATATCAGCTATTTCAAATTGGTCCCAGAAATACAACTTTATAGTAAATGAAGGAAAACAATTGTATGCACCACTGAAAATGAAATATGTGCAATTGGGTGATGTTAAAATAACATTTTTGGGTCCCTCTATACAGTGAAAGATCTGAAATTGAATGCCCAAATAAAGGAATTTATCACTAAAGTTCTGTATGTTACACATTCAGAAATCTAGAATTCAGTCAGAATTTGTGACTGCTTATGGTATGTGTTTTGTGCTATATTCCTGCTTGAGGAATGACATAAATAGTATTTACAAATCAGTAGCTTTCATTAAAACTAACTTACTCAATACAAGGATAAAAACACATTTTCTTGCAATAATAGAGATATCTAACATTATAACAAACATAGGAATCATATTAATCATAATGTCTCACTTTACAAAATCCACATAAGAGGTTGTCCACAAAAATCCACATAAATTAACTTAAACATTAGGTAATCCTAATATTTATTTTTAAATTTTTACAAAATTTGTTGAAATACTTCCTTTTATTCAGTCTTACATAAAACACTAAAATACTAAGAAATTCAAATTAAAAAAATATAAATATGTTAAAAAGTTATAATGTATAAATTGTTACAATAAATGGAAATATTTTTTCATAAACGTGTACTCGTATATTCGTTGAATCTATTAGATTACGAAGAAAAGATTCAAAACTGATCTTTAGTATATTTTAGAATCCAATTAAATGGACATAATAGACTCTGAGCCCATGTGTTATCCAGAAGCGCATGCATGACTTATTGTCAGAAATTTTCTTGTCTATGTGTCCTTCCTTCATTCAAAATTTGTCCCCTTTTCTTGTTGCTAATTGCAGTCCACATCACCAACTAATTCTGATTTTAATTTATAACACAAATAAAATTAATACAACTCATTGTTACTGGGAGGGGATTAAGGGTTTGCTGCAGGTGAAAAGCATTGCAGGGAAAGAAGAGGCATTCAAAATACTCCAAATTTGCACAATTTATAGACAGTCACCAAAATACATGTATGTTACTTTACAATATTCATTGAGACGACTCTCAACAAGTATAATTGATGCACATGGTTAAATGCTAACTAAAATCTTTTCTGCTGCATATGTGTTACTAATACAATTAGAGACTATACTGACTTCCAAAAACAAAAATTATTAATTAATTAAAGTTATTAACTACTTAAAATTTTAATATTACCTTGAGCATTTCCACAACGCCTTTCACATTCATTTAGAGATGCAAAACGGTTTTGATTGCCTTGGCAGCCTCCATAAAGAAATTGTTTACACACTCCATCATGGCTATCATAATACCACTGAGCTTTTGAGTCTGAGCATGGTCCATGGTCATTGGGTAGGAAACAGAATTCTGAAATGTTCATATTTATTAAAAGCACATGTTTCTTTTATTGCTATTATTCCCTCTTATAACAAAGGTTAATCAGAAAAAAGAAGAAAAAATCGATCAGGTCTTGACATGTGGTGAATCTATTGGCCAATCTATCACTGTTGCTCAAGGGATGTCAATTCAGGTTTCATGTCCCCAATATTTGACATTTGGGATGGTTGCTGAACTAGCAAACACTCAAATTTTTGTTTTTGTTTTAAAATAAATGGGGGTTTCCCCTTTACAAATTGTTGTATTCGTCATACACATTTAGCTCTATTACAGTTCTGTAGTTTGCGGACAAGCCCAATCTCTGGTGTGGTGTGTATCTTTCTAAGATTAATATTGCCGAGAATAACCATGTAAATAAATGTTTGCATCTATCAAGATATTTAATAGCATATTAGTAGTATTAATGTAATAAATTTATAAAAGAGAGAGTACCTGATATCACATATAATGAGCTAGAGATACAATTTAGGTCATTAACATAAGTTTATTTAATAAGAAAGTTGAACATGCAACTAAAATACTTTTGAAAGCTATAAAAATTATGTACCTCTCCTAAATTCTTGTTCAGGAGGAGGAGTTGGCATATTTTCACATCGCTGTTGACAATCTTGCATTGTCAAAAAGTTATTTTCATTTCCATCACAACCCCCATAATAAAATGGAGAGCAGCGCACATCGTAAGTATTGTAATACCAACGTTCAGTATAATTGTGGCAACTTCCAATTACAGCAGGCAGTGCACAAATATCTTGTTCTGTAAAATATAAGTAATTAATTATTTTAGTTCAGACTCTTTGTTTCATTTATTCTTTCTCTTGGTGAAGTATTTAAAAAATATCATTGTTCATCATCTGTCATGCATGATGCATGTTAAAGTAAGATTAACAAACTAATGTAGCAATACACCCAACAATAGAATTAAAGATAGATATTTCATTTGGTAAATTATTTTCAAAAATGCAAGAAATATTGAAGAATAAAAGATCTCTTTGAAATTTGCTGCAAACAAATGCTCTATAAAATAAATAACAATGAATTCCTATATAGTTTGATGTATTTATTACAGTACTTCATTACAGAATTATATTCAAATATCATTTTTAACATCGTGCCATGCTTTTATTACACATGCAGGATATTAGGTCATGCAATACATGTGGTAACAGTTTATTAATGACAAACTTACCAATAGTAGGAGGACAATCTCTTTCACATGCTTCTCGAGTTTCAAACCTGTTAGCATTACCCTCACACCCACTGTAATAGAAAGGCATGCATCTTTGTTCAGATGCATCAAAGAACCATCGAGGTAAATGCTCCATGCAGGTCCCCTGAGCACGGGGAAGAGTGCAATAATCTGCCAGTGATCAATAGTTAGAATGAGTACACATAAGGGGATGCAGTCAAGACATTACCCACAATGCACCATGCAAAGGTGTTAATTTTTTCAATGAAGTAGATTCTTCATACAATGTTAATCGTGTAGAAAGATTTTGAAATTCTGGAAGAACCTCAAAAACTGAAAATGTGGCAAGTTCAGGTTTATATTACAGCTACTCTTGGAATTTTTATAAATTTCAAATACTAAAGATGCAATGAATTTCATGTCTGTATATAATTTCTTTGTACAACTGAGGTTATAATAATCTACCAGTTATTTTCACACACATATTTACACACATACACGAAACAATATTAGAGAAACAAAGTATTAAAAACCTTTCACATAAGAGTTATTCAAAACTTATAATCTCAAGTCAATTCATAAATCATTGATATTGATACCTGCTTGAATTAACACAAGCCTCCAAGAAGTTTGTTTGAAACATTGAAACTTCCATTGAACTAATTTTTAATATGTTAAAAAATAATCAGAAAAAATCTGAATAAACAGAACATTAACTTATATTCTTCACTCTCCAGTACATGTCCCATTGCCTGTGAGTCAAATTACTTATCTGTGAACTCTCAGTTTGTGGTACATGTACTTCAATTAAAATAACAACAAAAAAACAAAACAATTTTGTATTTATTTTTCATTTGACTTTCATTACTTCACTTCTCAGTATTGAAATGAACATCACAGTAAAACTTTTGAACCTGTAGTTCCTTAAACATGCCTACACCCAGGAAATGTAATATTCATTTGATAGATTTTTAGTGACTATTTCATATGATTTACTACTAGAGAGTCCAGACAAATTAGGTTGCTACCTATTTACATGCTCCATTTGTTTGTAAAATCTCTCCATTAAGTATGTATTACAAGTGCCACAAAATAATTAAATTCTAATATCCTACAATGTGTAGTAATAACAGAAATTGCGATCCTAATGGTGTGAAACATTGAATATGAAAGCAAAACATACCATAGCAGGGAGAAACAATATTGCAATTCTGCATAAACATTTGATCTGTGTACATAAAAAACTTTAACGTCAAGCAGAGTGCAGCCCCATTCAGCAATTCTTTATAAAATCTAATTTTGATAAACTCCTAAAGGACATACAAGAAATGGACTGAATCAAAGAATTTTCCAGAAGTGTTATTAAATTTATATGTGAAGAAAATCACTAAGAACTATAAGAAAACACAAAAAGCACCAAAGGAAGATATTCTTTAGAACACTATGCATAAAGAAACAGAAATCTGTGGGGTTATGCACATATCTAATGTGAGGAGAATGAGAAGACAGAAGTAAGACACATCAATAAACAAAGATCCATGGGATACATCTTGAATTGTACTTGCAGAATTTTAAAGTAGAGACCATACATGATAAAATATTTGGATTGCCAAAGTTGGAAGTCATAAGACATATCCCATGATGATGTAATTAATATGTTGCAAGAATGATCAGAAAGCACAAGGAAAAAAGTTTAATTCTGGAAAAGGAAAATATAAAATATTGGACACCGAAGACACCAACACAGAATATCCCAAACGCAGAAAATACCTCTGACATTGTTGACTATATGACACTGTGTCTTGCATTCTTCCTTGGTTTTAAATCTGTTGCTATTCCCTCCACAACCACCATAAAGAAAATGTTTGCATATTTGCTCATTGCTGTCAAAATACCAACGCATAATTGAACCAGAACAAGGGCCCATGTCCCTGGGAAGACTACATATATCCATAACTGCTGAAACATAATTGGTAACAAGAAAAGGGAAAGAAACTAACAGATTAAGGATCTAACAAGTTTGTGACTTCCAGATACAGTAAAGCTGTATCAGATGATCAACGTTGAAGAACAAATCTGCATTGACAGATTCCAGTCAGTGATGGAGAACATTTGAAGAATTCATCAAGTATTTAAAATTACCAGTTTATATTTCATGGAGAACAAGTGTTAAAAAATAAATGTTCAAGATTACCTCGACTTCTTCCTGGCTTCAGACATTGTTGATGACATGCTAATTCTGAAACGAAATTATTTGCATTGCCTTTACATCCTCCATAAATAAATCTCTGACATGTCTTTGTGTCTTGGTCATAATACCAACGACTGAAGTTTCCTTCACATGGTCCTTCCAGTTTTGGCTGCTCACATGCATCTACAGTTCAGGAGTAGAAGTAAATTATTTATGAGTTGTATTTCAGAAATTTTCATTTTATTTTGCAAGACATACCTATTATGTCTGGTTTGACACACAGTTCCTCACATTCTTCTCTTGTCTCAAATTTATTATTATTACCAAGGCAGCCTCCATAAATGAATTGACCACAATGTTTTCTTTCAGTATCATAATACCATGTTGGATAATATCCTTCACATGGGCCTTCAATTTTGGGTAAATAACATGCATCTGTTGGAACCAAATTGCAGGACATGAATTGGGCTGAAGCTTAATTGATGAAACACATTACATTCATATTTTTGTGTGAATTCTTAATAATTATTTTCATAACTTTATTACTACATTTTAATATACTTATAAATGGCATCTTTTTTCTCATAATTTTAATAGCTTTATTAAGTATAATATTTTTAATACAATGTTGTGAGAACAGCATTTTTTCACTGAAAAAAATTTGTTAGTAATATTTTTTTTTTAAAGTTATTTTGAAATACAAAATAAATAACAATATGGAAATGTATCTACTCATGAAAAATAAAAATTGAATTCACTAACCTCTTCCAGATGGTTCTACGCACTTGTTTTTGCACTCTTCCTGTGTTTTAAAACGATTATCATTACCACCACAACCTCCATACCAGAAGCGAGCACAACCTCCATACTCTATGTCAAAGAACCACTTAACAGTGAAATCACGACATGGACCACGCTCGCGAGGCTGAGTGCATGCATCTGTAAGTTAAGTAAGCTATGAAGACTGAAGTAATGAATTATTTACATGATCATAAGACAAACATTTGTTACTTGTTAAAAAGGAGTCTAATTCTAATAAAGTTTTTCTCTCAAAACGATTACATAGAGGAAATATGGAATTCTGGTTTATTTGTAGTTAAATATAAATTCAAAATTCTTATATTTATAAAATTTCATTACCAGCTGCTACTATTGGAGCATCTTCACATCCCTCAAATTTCTCTCCTTCAGCACTAGTAGTCCCATCAATGCAACAACCATATTTGGAGGCCGCACAGTCACAACCAGCAAGTTCTGGACCAGTAGCGGGTGTTTTTCCATCTGAACAGCATCCAAATTCTGTGTTTTCACAGCCACATCCTAAAGAAAAGAAAAACAGTATATCAAGTGTCACTTATAAATGTTGTGTTGTAAAAATAATTTATTTATTTTTTGATGAAATGCTTAATTATAGAAAATGAATTAAATTAAAACACAGGTCTGCTACCAAATGCTTTTTACTGGATACCAAAGTTTTAGATTAGTGATTAATCTTTAAAATATCTGATAAAAGAATGTCACTAAAGAAGACTTAAATTGTTCAGGTCATAAGCAACTATACCATAATTTCTTGGTCCTCTGGCAATAGTAATTCCATCAGGGCAACATCCAAATTGATGTGTATGACATGGACAGCCTTCAAAATTTGGTCCTGCAGCTGGAGTGTATTGATTAGGGCAACATCCATGTTCAGTGAATCGACAACCACAGCCCTCTGAATTAGCCCCACGTGCAGCTGTTGTGTTGTCAGGACAGCATCCATAAGGTGTGTACTGACACCCACAGCCTGAAGAATATTGAACCGGGAGGAGTCAATTTTAATTACACTTGTTTGGCTAAGAAGAAAAAATATTGCAGGAAAAAGTCACATATATTATAATTACCTTCCAAATTGGGACCTTGTGCAGACAAGATGTTGTCTGGGCAACATCCATACTGAGTATTTAGACAGCATCCTTCTTTGTTTGGGCCATGGGCCGGTGTTTTATTATCGTCACAACAACCGTATAGCTCAGATTCGCAAATTGAAATTTCACAACCTTCCAAGTTTGGACCCAAAGCTAAAACAATAAATTAAAAAGAGGTATCAAAAAATTAAATGAAATTAAATTTAAAAAATGATATTTTGAAATATTAGGTGTTTTGTCCTGTAATTTAACTTGATGTGAAAATGTGTTCAAAGTTTTCACTTTACCTGCAGAAATGCCATCTTTACAACATCCAAAATAAGAGGCTGAACAGTTCTCATGATTTATAACAATATCACAGCCTTCAGAGTGTGGTCCTGTTGCTTCATTAATTCCATCTGGACAGCAACCATACTCTGATGCTTTACAGTCAGATACTTCTGTTGTTCCAATAAAATATTCAGTACCTACAATGGAGAATCATGAAATGATCTGACAGATTCTTTATATTAATTATTCTGAGCACTATTATGTAGTTACCTTCTTTGCAACCAGAAAAGTCAGGTCCTTTAGCAGCACTAACTCCATCTGGGCAGCACCCATATTTTGTATCATTGCAAAATTGACATTCGCCAGATCCTTCACATTCAAAACATCCTTCATTATTTGGACCTGTGGCTGGAGTTAAATTATCTGGGCAACATCCAAATCTGCATGGAAATTATTTTGGAATGATTTTCAAATTACTAAAATAGTATATGCAATGTGAATTACAAAATATTCTGAGAATTAAATGGAAAAAAAGACATTGACTTCAAACATTAATTATAATAAAAGGTTTTTGTAATACAAATATCCGGATATCCTAATTACAGACAATGATAATGCATTTCAATGTCATATTCTTATTGAAAAATATGTCAATAAAAGCTTTAGCCAAACTAGGAATTATACACAATTATACGTACATACATATTATAATAATACATAATTATACATACCGAAGCTAGGAATTATACCCAAAAAGTAATATGTAGTAGCTAATAGGGATATACTTATACATACATGTAGATAAAAATGTTCAAAATATGAACTGAAAATTGAATAAAAAGTTAAAAATAGAGAAAATAATATATGTTTAATCTGTATACATCGAATGGCCAAATAAAATATTTTTGGTATTATCCACAGAACAAGATTAATAATTTCTTGTATAGACTAGATCTTTTAAAATTTCTAAAAACCCAACACACTAGACAATTTTGTGCTGCTGAAAGTAAGATCTCTAATACTTAATACTTTTCTGACTATTGAGCATTTACCAAGCAACGAGTCACTGTGTCTGTTTGACAGTAGGTATCTTAATAAAATATTTGTAAAATTGTAATGTTACTTTTTCTAGTGAAAGAATGCATTGGGTTGCTACTAAATATTTTATTTTAATATTCATAATTATCATTATCATAATTCATATTTACTAATTTTCAATGTGAGAAGCATCACATTTCATTTAACTAAAAGAAAAAGGAAGAAGGAAAATAATAAGGAGAAGAAGAATACGAAGAAGGAGATGGATCACATCTCCCTGTAGCAGTCACACAGTTTTAATAGTTTTTGACATAAAATAAATAAAAACTAAATAAAGAAAGAAGAGAGGAAGGATAAGAAAAAGAAGAAAAAGAAGAAGAAAAAGAAGAAGAAAAAGAAGAAAAAGAAGAAGAAAAAGAAGGAGAAAAAGAAGAAAAAGAAGAAGAAAAAGAAGAAGAAAAAGAAGGAGAAAAAGAAGAAAGAAAAGAAGAAGAAAAAGACGAAGAAGAAGAAGAAGGAAAAGAAGAAGAAGAAGAAGAAGAAGAAGAAGAAGAAGAAGAAGAAGAAGAAGAAACGAAGAAGAAGAAGAAGAAAAAGAAGAAGAAGAAAGAAGAAAGAAGAGAAGAAAAGAAAAGAAGAAGACAGAATAGTTCAATTAAAATTATTCAGTGTAATTACTCACTGTGTATTTTGGCAATCAAAAGGTACATCAACACAGCCTTCGTAATCATTGCCCTCAGCAATGCTGATACCATCAGGACAACATCCAAATAATGTTTCCTCGCAGTGGGAGGAAGGACAACCTTCTCCATTAGGACCAGTAGCAGCAGAAACACCATCAGGGCAACATTTATATTTTGTTTCATTGCATGTCTCTACTTGTACACAACCTATACACAAAATTTGTAGTTAAAAAAATGCAATTAGCTCCTTCTGCTGTTTTTGTTTCTAAAATTTACATGAGTATAAAAGAAAATGAAACACACAAGGTTCTTCAGAAGAAAATGCTACTTGAATCATACACTACATAATGGAGACATTGAAAAATTTTGAAAATTTGAAGTGCAAATGAATTTGAAGTAGAAATGTCTATTCATTTAAAGTCATTTCTATGAGAAGACCTATTGAATTTTCCTCGCTATGTGTAACACTAAAAAGATTTGGTGAAATTATCGTCCAAATCTTGAAAACTATAGTGTAACTTTGCTGAAGAACAGAGAAAAGAGAAAGAAGTACCTTTACTAAATGGTCCAGAAGCTGCTGATATGCTATCAGGGCAGCATCCAAATTCTGAAGTTTCACAAGTTGGTTTCTTTGCCTTGGGCTTCTTTTTTCTCCTACATTTTTTTACTTTCTGTTCTTTTGTGATAGCTACTTGGATTGAACTTGGAGTAGTAACAAATATTTCTGAAAATGAAGATATAATGTCAGATATTGTATAAAATGTAATATATAAAAATTGCAGGGCATTTTAAAATAAAGAGCAAATAAATGGTTGAAAATAAATGATCTACTGACAATGAAATTATAGTATTGTGAAAGGTTGTATACTAAAATTATGAGAAATTTTGAATTTCAATATTTTCTAAAAAGTTTGGTAATAAGGAGATCCCCTACCCTTAAGACCATATTTTTATGAAAATTGAAACAAAAAGCTTGATGTAATTGTGGTAAACTTGATTTTTTCAAGAATTTCAATATGAAATTGTTTGATTTGTGATTGACTTTAAGAAATGGACTCAATTATTTTTTATCAAAATTGAGTGAAAAGAAAGAAATTGAAAAAAAGAATATGTAACTTTTTACACAAAGATCATGAGATACAATTGATGAGATTTAGAAAAATAAAAACATATATAAATTAAGTTATTATCTTTAAGTATTAATCTTTGAAATTATTATCAAATAAAGTTAATATAACTAATCATAAGCTGTGAATAATGTCGTTGATAGTGCAGGTAGAAATCATGAAAAATGATCAGAATGCAAATAACCACATCTATGGAATACATTAAAAAACAACATCTACTAGAAACTTAGTTGAGACTGTTGTTCTGAAAGATACTTAACCATTCTGTTAAACAAAGACTTTTCAAGTATTGCAATTATTTCATGAAGGGAATAATGCCACAAAAGTCAACATCATCAAATGCTTTAAAAAATTCAACACAATGTTTTTTTTCATTAATTTTCCTTAAATGAAATTCTCAGAATAGTCAGTAAAAAAAACTGAATGAATATAATTAATCATTGTAGTCAAAAGTACAAGAACATTTTGGCCCAATGTGATGAATTTCAGAATTGTTTGTTAAAGACTCAACTATCTGTCATTATTATACCTGCTAGCTCACATATCCACTGCATCCTTCGTTGCTGGATTTCTTTTGGATTTTGTTGAGACTGTTGACACTTATACGCTTTTCAAAATAGACAACAAAATTCAAATTCAAAACTTCAGCCAACTGGATGTGGACCAAAGGAAACTGTGGAGGAATCGGTCTGATGGACAACAGCGGCTCTCACAGCCTCAGTAAGCACGACTACAGTTGGGCCTGGCAGTAGGCAAAATATGCACCATCCATCACTTAGCATCGAGACATAAAGCATGAGACGCCCCAGAAAACAGCTCTGGTGCCTAGGGGGAGCACCAGTGTATGCTTGAAGCTGATGCTGGGCACAACAACTTCACAGCCACCTGCAGTAGAGTGCTAAAGAATTGGGCCAGGGGCAGAACCAGCCAATCATTTTGGAGGGGGGTATCATAGATTTTTGTTAAATAATAAACAATTGTAATTGTAATACGTATAATTTGGGGGGGGGGGGCATAGCTTCAATGCCCTCTGGATCTGCCACTGAGAAGGGCAACTACCTGGTTACCCAAGAACAAGATACAGCCCAAATCAATGATAACCCTACCCAACAACACCTTAGTGTAGATGATGGGGGAAGTGTTACTGAGTAGGTTAATAATATGTGGTATAGTGATCTGTTGATTCTAAACTAGAGATATCGAAGAACCACTCACTAGTGATCTACACCAACTAGTTACAGACAAATATCCCAGTTTATGTTGTAAAACAATGTCATAGATGAATATTTACCAACAATAGGATAGCAACAGACAAAATCAATGAAATGAAGAAAGAACTAGCTAGAGAACTGCGCAAGGTAGAAATCAGACATGTGAAATACGAATGAAGAAAACCAAGCTCATGATGCCAAAGACTTTTCACATTACAGAAAGAAAAAGGATGTTATCTTTGCAATGAATTATATGAAGTATGGAGAAATCAGATGTACTCTAAGATCTAAGTTGCCAAAAATTATCTTTAAAGCAGAAGCAAACATCATTATTAGCAATGTCAACCTTATAATAACAAATCAGTTAAGAGATGAAATTTCATTAGATAACTTGCATACCTTGACATACATTAGAGCAATGACAGTTCTCTCATTCTAAATGGGCAACATGTCAGCAGTACAAAGCCAGTACTGAAGGAAAAACACCAACACTCCACCATGGCAATGAAGGCTATGCTCCAAAATTGGCCAGATCAGAAGAAATATTAGCATACTCTCCCAATATGGAAAACTGAATGCTTCTGCTAAAGTAAAGAGAACTAATCCAATTGTCTTGGATTGCTTGAAGACCAGGAGAATCTGAACTGGGCACAGTATTGAATAGTCAAAAATAAAGGCAGCTTGTTCTTGCAAAGAGCTTAAAATTATACTGTGAAAGTGAGGCATGTCACAGAGACAACAACCAATTCAGAAAAATCAAAAAGACTTCTTCAGAAAACAAAGAAACACAGCATCCAATGGGAAATCAGACAGAGATATTGCACCCAATGCTGAAAACATTTTCAATTTCTGGCAAACAATTTCAGGTGAATCTGTTGAACAGAAAAAAAGTAAAATTGCAAAGGAATGAAAAGTAGTGTATGTCCAGTTTGAAAATCATGTTAAACTGGAAAATCAATGAAAAAGAGGAAAACTGCTCAGGAAAAAACATTGATCTGCAAGGCACTAAGACCTAATGGCTTGCAGAATTTCTGGCTCAAGAAATTCACTGGAATCCATAAATATTTTGTCAAATGCTACACGATAAGTTCAAAACCCATTGTTGATGCCTCCATTCTTGACGGAGGTGATCCCCTACCTACTTTCCAAAGAGAACATAGATAAAGCTGATCCAGCAAAATACCACCCCATAAGTCTCAACACTGTTCAAGCTGCTCACTTCCATAAATAGAAAAATATACCAACACATGAAGTATGAAAGAGATGCCATAAGAGATCATGAGAATGCAAAGGACAATTTAGAGCGTAGGCTTCCGCGGCCGGAGTCAGTATTTACTAGGCTGTCCGGGTGACGCCGCGTCCATGGCGAAGGTGCTGACGTTTCGGTCGCCATTTTGCGCCAATGCGCGTAACGCATTACGCCCTGAGGAAGGTCGCAGAATGGCGACCGAAACGTCGGCACCTTCGCCATGGACGCGGCGTCACCCGGACAGCCTAGTAAATATAGCAAAGGACAATTGATAGTAGATTTTATCATTTTGTAAAACATTAAAAAAGGATCATTATATACTGCATATAAACACTATCAGAAAGCTTTAGAGTATCCTACAGATCAGGCAGAGTGAAGTATCGCATATTATGGAGTTGAAAATCATGGATTCCTGAGGTAGTAAGCAACGGATCAATGAAATATTAAAATACAACTAATTATTTGAAAGAAAAAAAGAAGAAAAAATTCAATTTTGGGATATTAAAATCAAGAGGGGTATATTTAAAGTTGATGCTCTATCCTTTATTGTTTGTCTTGCAGTGAAATGCTAACAGCAATGGTAAAATGACAGAAGAGGGGATATAAGTTGGAACAATCAGGAACACAAGTACTCAGCTTTTCATATGAACAAATAACATTTGTATGATAAATACAAACAAGCATCTTCTTAGCCTCCTAAATTGTGTGGGAGAATTCAGCAATGACATGCAGATGAAATTAGGTCTCAAGAAGTGTAGAATTAGTTGTATGAGTAAGGCGAATGGTTTAAACTCCCTGAATATGAGACAAATAAAGTGCAAGGCACCATCAAAGGAATAGCTCAGCAAGCGAAATACAAATATGTTGGATACTTGTAATCAAGAGAGATAGATGAAAAACGTGCCAAAGAAATAATGGGTAATAACTACATCCAGAGGGTACACACCATTGTGAAGACTGAATTCAGTGCACGCAACTTAGTGAAAGCAATTAACATATATGCAATCTCAGAACTCACATAGTCTTTTTGAATACCAAAATGGACCAGCACTGAACTGGAGAACCTAGGCATAAAAACTAGGAAAGAATTTTGTAAAACAAGAGCACATCACCCAAACAGATCAGTTGAAACGTTCCATATGTCCCATGCTGCTGGATGCAGAGGGGTCTTTAGAGTCACAACAATGCATAATGTGCAAGTGAAAAATATGTGAGATTGCTTTCTCCAAAACGCAAAATTCAGTTAGTGGTTAACTGCATTAACGAGAACAGATTATAATGCTACACCTATCTACAGTCCTTTCTCAGAAGGCATGTATCATCTATCTAACCATAGTCCTTTCTCAAAGATCCTCTCAAATGAACAACAACTACAATTAGTGGTGCAAAGAATTACACAGACTTTCTCCTACTAGTTAGTTTCCTTACTTCATCAGTCTGGGCTATCTGTTTGGTTATGATCCACCCTGTTCTCAGCTGGGTGCTGAAAACACATTTTTTTCACATTTTCTCAATTTTTCAGATCCCTAGCAGTAGAGTTGAAAAATAACATTAAGAATATTATAGCAGGGTAAAATCTTGTCCTATTCAGGAATTCTGAAAATGTGCATTTTGAAACTTATTTTCTCCCAACATTTTCTGTTTTTTGAGAAATTCATAAGAACTAATTTGAAGCAATTCTACTCACAAATGTACAAGATATATCCATAATGTAAATATAAATGACATAAAGGATAATAAAAGTTTAAAAAATTAAAATTTTTCAAAAAAATTTTAAAAGTTTTAAAATAAAAAAAACGTGTTTAATTTTAGAAAAAATAAAAGAATACATCAAAATGGAGTTAGCATCATGTTATTCAATGTTTTGGCATTATCGGCTCAAAAACTGAAGAAAAAGTTGAAGCCATTTTTGAGAAAATGGCACTTGAGTAAGTCTAAAAATGAGCAATTTTCAGCTCATTTTCATAGAAATGTAATGAGTTTTTGAGAAACTTTATATGACATTATTTGAAGCATTGGTACTCACAAATGCAATAATGTAAACAAATCAGCAGTAATGTAAATGCTTGTATTTGGGGGACATTGAACAAATTTTGTTTATGTTTTGATATAACAAAAGAATAGTCCTACAGTAAAATGGTGAACATGTCATCTGTTACAGTACAATTAAGGCTATCCCTACAAAATGATTAAAGAAAAAATTTGGAGCCATTTTTGGGAAAATCTTGTCTTCAATATTTTTTCATATTGCCAATATTTTATTCTCAAAATTTCACAAAATCTACTTATATTTTTTTAAAAAGTTCATATCATTACTTGAAGATTAACTGATTATGAAGAACAATTTTCATTTGAAGAAAAAATATTGATCCTCAATATTGTAATTGAAGGAAGATACCGAAAAAATTTCAAACGTTTGCAATTTAAAAAAATTCAGAGTAAACAGTAAACATTGGATGATTATAAGTGTATATCACTCTACTCTTACAAGAAATTTAAGGAAAAAAATTGGAGCCATTTTTGAGAAAACTTTGAGAATGTCCCAGGGGCTTTATGTAAAGTACCCCCAAAATTTAAAGAATGTTTTTCAAAATCACAGAACCTTGGGTCAGGCTGGATTGACTAAGGAATATTCATTTTGGAAAAAATCCTATGAATAGGAGGTCCAACAAAAATTTAACTTTCTTTTTGAAGCATTTAGAATGCAGCCAGTAGAATTAGAAGCACTTTTATGGGTTCAACTTTTATATTACATAATCATTACAAATAATATTAGAAAGTATGTGTGTATGTACCTGTTTATGTGAGTCTGTGTCTTTATGTGTCGGTGTGTGAGTCTGTGTGTTCTGTATGCTTAAAACTGATTTATCACCATTAGTTTAAGAATATCTAAGAATGATATAAACAGGAAGCAAAAGATGATGCTTGTACTTGTTTCAAAACATTATTGTGTTTTATTGGTCAGTGAACTTATTAAACTAATTTAAATTAAATGAATGGTTTTCTGAAAAAGAAGTGAGTATACTACTTCAATTAATCAAGGTCAGTCAAATATAATCAACACAAAATGACACAATATTTGTAATAATTGCAAATTTTACTCACCCATTGTTGAGCTATAACCAGAAGACATTTCAGATGTTGTTTCTTCAGTGGTAACTGTTGATTCTTCAGCAGTAACTGTTGTTTCTTCAGCAGTAACTGTTGTTTCTTCAGTATCATTGGCAATTTCTGTTGTTGATTCTGTAGAAAACTCTGAAGGAGATACTGTACTTATGTCTGTGCTCTCAGTAGTTACATCTGATGTCAATGTGGTTTCACTATCTTCCATGGTTGACTCTATTGTTGATGATTCTGTGGATTGTTCAGATGTAAAAACTGAAGAGCTCTCAGTTGAGTAGGCTGATGTTGAAATACTGGTGGGCTCACTGGTGTCAGATGTCAACTCTAGTGTTGATGTAGTAGATTCTGATCCTTCTGGGGTAGTAGTTTCTTCTGAGCCTGAGGTAGTAGACTCTTCTGTGGTTGTGATTGTTTTATCTTCAGCTGAAGAAGACATACTGGTGCTAACTTCTTCAGTGGGTGCCTTGGTTGTGACAACGGGAAGTCTAACTTCTCCTAAGTCATCTTCATCAGGAGCTGCAGTAGTTAGTTCAGAAACTGTTGCATCTGTAGTTTTCTCTGTGCTAGATGGATCTGTTGTACTTTCAGAACTGGGTGTGCTCACTGTCTCTTCTGTGGCAGGTGATGAAGTACTATCAGTGCTAATTTCAGAAGCTGTTTCTGTTGTTGGAATTTCAGATGATGGAGTTGTAACATCAGATGATAAATGGCTGTCAGTCTCATCAGATGCTTTTCCTACAGAGGAGACTTCAGGTGTCTCTGTAAATGCACTGGCAAAAGTATTAAGTACTGTACTTGTAATAGATGACAATAAACTGTCTGTGGTACTAAGTAAGCCAGAGTCTGTTGTAGATGCTGATTCTGATATTCCTGATTCTGTTGTTGTTTCAGCTTCTGGAGTTTCATCTGATTCACTAAAGCTACTACTTGCTTCAGATGGAAGCTCTGTTGGAGATGTGTGGTCACTAAAATCAGTAGTGTCTTCAGATGTGGCATCTCCACTTCCTTCAGCAGTGAAGAAGGATGTACTAGGAGAATCTGAAAAGTATCCTGTTCCATCACTTAACATGATGTCATCTGAAGTGCCAAAACTGAAGTCAGATGCAGCTTTAGAAATAATATCAGAGCTGTCAATATCGCTTACAGATGATAAACTGTCCAAGACAGAGCTAGATTTCCGCTGACTCCAACTATCTGTACTTCCACTGGCTCCAATGGAAGAAATTTCATCTGCAAGTGAAGAGCTTGACTCTTCATCACCTGATCCTTCAGCAATGCTGGATTCGGTTACTCCATCCTAGTTTAAGAACAAAGTAGTAGTAAGGTTTATTCATTCATTCATTCATTCATTCAATTATTCATTTTTAAGTGAACACATTTATGAAATACATTTCTGACAGAAAATGGAATGTTGGTAGTTTTAGAATATTGCTTTTTAATGTTGAATTAATAAGAAATGGTTCCCATATTAAGAAAATTAAAAATGTTGATTTTTTAAAATAGTTCAATTTATACCAAATTCAAATTACTAATTACTATCAACTTATTTCAGATTCTGAATGCCAAATTCTAAGAGTGAACATTTAACTTCTTTTCTTTGTAATTACCTTCCCTAATGCTGAATCAATAACTACAGTAGACAAGTCACAGTCATATTCATCGTATTCATCATATTCATCATCATCTACCACATGAGTAGGTTCCACTGGTACCATCTCATCTGAAATAATTTTAAATATTTTTTAAATGCAAATAACAAAGAAATAGTTATCATATTGAGTATATCATGTAATATTATCTCAAGATTTACAAACAGAAATTGTGTACTGTGTGTTATAGTGTCTGAAAACAATAAGATTACTCACCTTCACTACAGGCATGATTATTACAAGATGTAGATAAAAAGGGGAATAAGCTAGGATCACATTTTTTTTCTTCAACTTTATCATTATCTATGAAGCAGAAAACTTTCCGAGACATACTTCCACCTCCACATTTCTTAGAACACTGTAAAATAATGGTTTTATTTTAATAACATGATTTGAAGAAATATTTAATATTGAATAAAAGATCTGCAAATAATCAGTTTTAAACACATCATTAGTATTAAATGAATCAATACATTGGGAAAACAAGGACTATTACAGAACCATAAAAATTGATATGTTAATACAAAAATAAATATATTATTTCAGTGTTTTCAAACATGTCTAAGGGACAGTAACTTAATAGGTGAAAGTGATGTAAGTTATGAATACATATATTTTCTGTACATTAGAACACAAGCGTGTGTGTGTGTACTAATGTCTAAGCATGTGTGTGCAGGTATTTGCATGTGAATGTGAATGTGAAAAAAATAAGAGAAATTTGAGAAACAAGATATAAAACAAAAATTGGTCATTTGTGTTTTGGCAAAAAATTATGAAATTTTTGAATGATTTGAGCAATTTTGAATTAGTACGTAAGGATTAGTGTATTGATCAAAATTTAAAAGTTTTACAAATGTAGAGCTTAGATGCATTTAATTTCAATGAACATTGTCCTTGTCGTTGTTGTTATTAATATAGTTGTTGTTAGGTGATGTATAAATGAAGATATTCAACCTAGAAGATTGTGGCTACTTATTGGATAAGGTATGATGCAAACCCATTACAATGAAATTTGTACGATCTTGCTGGCATATTTTAATTTAGGTACCAGAGTAAGAAAAAAAATATAACAATCTTATCAACAGTTTCAATAAAAAATGTTTTTAGTACATATCAAAAGAATTAAAAAAATAAATAGTACTAAGCAATTCTAACACAACAAAAAATATTAAAATTTTTTTATCTTCTTTGAAACATGGAAGAAGCATTTTCATTAGGTTTCTGTAAAACTAAAAATAAACAGTGTTTTAGAAATAGGTGAAAGAGAATTTTTTTCATTAGTTCATGATGGCTTAAAAAAATACGTTCTGAAGAGCAAATCAAATAGAACCTAAAAGAGACACAAGTATTTGTTTATGCTTTTCTATATTTTGCAAATACTTGACACTGAGGACTTTGTTCTTAGATTTCCTATCTCTAATTAAGCTGAGTCTCAAAATTCCTAGAGTATTTGAGTAACTCCCGAGTATGGGGATGGGCAATTCCGTCATTCATGGTTAGACCACTTCCCGTCCACCAATTGAGACATACGATGTGTCATTCGATGCATCTCAGTCTTCTGAAAGGGAACTGATAAATTGTTTTCAAATCCAGACAGAAAAATCAAATGAATTTCCAAAAACATGCTTTTGCGTGTTTTAGCACTGCGATCTTAGTGAGTAGAATTAAACCAATACCACCGAAATAGATCTGTAGGTGACATTGATTGAACCCCAATACTCATTTTCAGACCACAACACCATAATTTTCTGTCATAAGAATGGCAACACTAATTGTTGATAAATGAGCAATTTCAAATGAAAACTGTGCAGCAGAATTTGTTGTCAATTTGTAAGATTCGTATTTCATGTGTATTTTTATAATAAATTTGCAAATTACATTGGAATATTAAATTTGAAGAGCATTAACTAATTACAAAGAAAACAAGATCTGTAAGTAATATTAGAGAATACATTTTGTAAGCATGCAGAGATCAATTTTCAATTTAATTGGACTTACAACTTATTCACATAAACATAAAAAATAGTAAATTTTTAATGCTTATATATATTTGCCTTCAGCATGTAAATCAGACTGAGTTTGTGGTGTTTTAAAATCTTAAACAATTAGGGGACAAAAATATGGCAGTGTTAAGCAACTCAGGGGAATCAAATGTAGTTATAGAAGATTTTGTGACAGAATTCTCCAAACTAATTCTTACAATCTTTTATTAGAATTAGAGAATGACACAGATGAACAGTTTACAGGTGATCATTTATGTTCATATTAGAAAATAAAACACACAAAATATAGCTGTATTAAATTTTAACTATTCACACCATTCATACCTCCAAGTATTTTTACAGCAGTTATAATTTTGAAATTGCAATATTACCAGTTCATATCCTGTATGGAGGTAATATACAAGGCTTTTGGAGTGTTATGAATTTTTGAATGGGAGTATAACATTAACAGCTACTACAATTTATTGGTAAGTCCAATGCCAGATACTGTAAAAACATATACGAACACAGCAAGGGGTGGAAGAAATGAAGTATGAAATACATTTTCAACGCATGAAGATAGTTTTAAAACAGGTTACAGTATTGGCAATGCCTCATTCAACTAGTATAATATAAGAACTACTCTCTAGAATAGTATTAATAGTATCTCAAATTGTAATTTAACTCACAGAACTCCATGGGCCGTAGTGCCATTGCCCAGTGCATTCATCTTTTCCAGTACAATTAGTTTGTGATTCATATTTCTTTGATGGATCACATTTATCATCTTCTACCTTTTTCACTATGTCATCTTCAAAAGATCCACAAAACACTTTGCGTGTTTTAATGCCAATTCCACATTCTGCAGAACACTAGATGTTAAGAATAAACAATTAATTCGCATTATACATATTTTTATTTTCTGAAAATTGCAAATGTTTCCTTATTACTCACCTCACTCCACTGAGATGCAAACCACTCATGTTCACAAGGAATAAAAGTGTCACAAGGCATTTTGGTTTCTGGTAAAGTCTTTGAGTGGCAAAATTCATTAGCATAAATCTTTCCAGCTTCATTAGCACAGTAAACCTTTCTTGTTTTGAATGCGAGTCCACACTTGCCTTCACACTGCACATATGTGAATAACATAAACAAAATCAGTTGAAGGACTCATTAAATTAATAATAACTTGAAATAATTTTATTGATATTCAGAGCTCAATTATTGGTACAATTTTACATACTTAAATCATAAACATTTACACGCAGACTTCATTTGTGTTCAAGTGAATCATTTATCATATTGTTTTTAAAGCAATCTCTATAACAATATATTACCTCAGACCAGTCTGAAAACACCCAATCAACACCTTCACAGGGACGAAGAGTACATGACTTTTCTTCCTCAGGCTTTTCCCCTGGACAAGCAGAATCAGCAAGTACATCTATTTTTCCTTCTACTTTCCTGTAGCAACGTACTCTTCTCCTCTGTTTTCCATCACCACACAGGCGGTCGCACTATTTATGACAAAAAACAACTATGAAATACTTAACAAATAGTACCACATCAGTACTTCATACTTTAAAAAGATTCAATAATTAATCACATGCTATAATTGAAATGTAATACTTTATTTAAAATTTATACATCTTACATCAGTCTTATTCAAATTGATACACTACTCAAATTTAGTTAAGATCCATTATAATTAAAACTACAAACACTGTACACTTGTCTAGAAATGACACTAATCTCTACAGATAGAGGTCAATGAAAAATAAACAACTCTACTTACTGGTTTCCAAGGTCCAATATGCCAAAGGGGACATGCATCTAGCAGTCCACATTCTTTTGTTATGGCTGGTTTGGGTCCATATAAATCCACACACTTTTCATCATCCACAATTGATGACACACCACTGCTTACAATTTGTTCACAATGTACTTGTCGTGTATGGGAGCCTCCTTCTCCACACGACTGGCTACATTCTCCCCACTCTCCTTCTGCCCATGTAGGAGGGCATGGGTCTGTATTGCATGATTCATTTCTCTTGGGTTCCAAAATAGGATTGCACAGGTTGCTAGGTTGTACTTCAAGATCCTTGCGACGAACACAGGTGACGTTGCGAGTTCTGAAACCTAAAAATATTATCATAGAAGTACTTTTTTGGAGAGAAGAAATATGAAGTCTGAAAGGCAGAATGATATGAAATTTTCATATAAAATGTAATTTATTACAAAACATAAACAATTTGAAAACTGTTGTCATAACATTATAAATGAGAAAGATTGATATCTATTACATACTTTTATTTAATTAATAACATAATAAAATAAGTGTATTTGTTCCGGTAAAAATCAATATGTTTATAAATCATGTTTTAGGAAAATGCACAGAATGACAGAATGATACCTCCTCCACATGTAGTGGTACAATCTGTGAAGTCATCATATATCCATGCATAACTGTCTGGATCAGTCTGTTGAGTGCCCTTGTGGATGCTGTATTCATATGAAACTCCAGGGTTTGGTTCTTGAACGAGGAACTAAAATTAATTTTCATAAAACATACAATTTTTATCAATATTGAGGTCAAGTCCTTTTACATAATGAAAGCAGTATTTAACAAGCCTCTTACCACAATGTAAAGAGGTTCAGTTGTAGGGCCCAGGGCTGTAATAGTTTCAGGAGCTAGAAAGGCATATGGTTTTCTTTCATAGTGAAATACAGTTCCTGCAATTTTTAGGCTTCTTGGAATATCAATTCTCCAGTTTCCATTCAAGTAATAATAATTACTCACATTTCTTATAGCTGAAATACATTTTGTAATTTAATTTCCCAATTTGTAAAAACTCACAAGAGAAATATAAAGTAAAGCATACAATATTATTACAATATTTACAATGAATAGATGCATTATACAAAATATTTTGTTTTAGATAACAAAAAGTGTATACAGACCTAAATAATTATTTGAAGCCTTTACTTCCTCTACTTTGATGTTAGTTGCTCCAGCAGGTATGAGAAGAATGTCATTGTAACCTGAAATGACATATTGATCAGATAACACAATCAGGGCCAATGTTCTGTTATTTTGTGCCTAGGTAAGTTGAGACATTTGCACCACCAATTTTCACACTTCAAAAACTTTAATTGTAATGATTTTTTTTTGAGTAATACATTCCACTAAGTATAAAACATAATTTATTATAAGTAATACCTTTAGTTAGATTGAACATAAATATGGGGTCTTTATCTTTACTCACAAACCCATTTCTGGAAACACCACCTCTGGTTATGGTAATTTGGCAACATGTGAAATACCTTTGCTATCCCTTTTACTTTTAGTGACCCCTGGCCATATATCCTCAGATTTTGGGCAGAGAAAATGCGACTAATTTTAGTTGGAAGAAAGAGGAAGCACTTATTCTGTCTTTGTTACACTTCAACGTACTACAGCCAATACTCTCTGAGCTGGCTTTCATAAAATTAAAATTAATGTTACATTGTTGTTTATAAATTCATAAATCAGTCATAACTTCCCTCCACAGGTGAAAATTGTCTCCAGCACAGCAGTAGTAGTTATTGCAGAAAGTCATAGTACATTTCTTAAGTGCACGTAGATAACAGTTCAGCAAAACCAAAAAGTTAGACCCAATTCAAAAGAAAGGAAAACTTCCTTTTTCAGTTTTGAGGATTTGGGATACAACTGTGACTTTTAACAAAGCACTGCTGGAGTGATTTGGAGCATCTTTGAATTTTAAATTTCGCTTGTAGTTTTCTGGCAACTAGTATTTTTTTTTAATTCCAAGCAGATTACATTTCATATTTTTTGTAGACAAGAAATATATACAGGAAATTATTTAAATTATATACAATGTTTTCCCAATATTCTTCTTACCACTCATCTTCTAATATTTTTCTTCACAATAAGCATGTAATGTTTAAATCCAAATATAATACAAAATTCTGTTACAAATGGAATTGTTTATTAAACCCTTCAAAATTTAAGAAAAGAGAAATATAAATGAAAAAACTTACCAACTTTCAAATCATCCATTTCTAGAATTCCTTGTATTGTTCTACAACTGCTTCCATCACCCCGACATTCACGGCATTTATCTTCTTTTGCACTTGATCCCAGCATCATGTCACACCCTACTGGCTATAAGACAGTCTTAACTATCATCATGTCAAATTTTACTCCAGAAGATAATGTACACTCAAGATAAACAATTACAAATGATCATTAGAAATGAATATTAATTAATAACAATTAAAAGAAGATCTAAATTATCAAAAAAGAGAAATGTATTCCTACTGACCAGGCACTGTCCTTCAACACAGATATCAAGTTTCTCTTCATCACAGCGTGTTCCATCCTGTACTCTCTCTTTATGCCGATAATAAAAACGATCCCCTTGAGGCATGCAGTTCAGTTCACATTTATTTGGAGCTTTTGTGTATGGCACCCAACTATGGAGGGAATTATGAGGTAGATTAATACAAACCCTAAAATCACTTATCACATACATTTTCCAGGGTTAATCCATTTTATATATGAATATAAATTATTTGATATATTTACACAACAAACTTATGGAATGCAAACTAAAATTTTGAACTGAATTTTTTGTGTTCTTCAAAGCTCACCACCAATTATTGAAACATGATCATCTTTATCATTGCATCCTGAAAATAACTGAATTAATTTTTTGTGACTCACACTACATGAAACAAAATGTGTTGCTATACATGCCTACAGTTACATATACATAAGAACAAATCTTTCGTCTATGTAATTTCTACTTTCTTTCACTCACTAGACAATTTTGAAAATTTAGTGCAAAATAAAATTGTAATTTTTGAAGAATGTATGTTAATAGTCATGATAATATAATAGTTTTCTTTGTGGTGAAGATGTTTTACAATTTTTTCTGGGATTTGACATTTATCTCACTTAGTATCAACAAGTGCAACAAAGCATTTTTTGCCTTATCTTGACATGTACTTGCACAAGATCACATTTGTAACAATATTTACAATTAAACAACATACACATCCTTGTATTTGTTTAAATTTTATTCACCATTTTGTGTGGTAAAAATATGCTTTGTTTGCAAGTTATTTTGTATTAAATTAGTACTATTGAAATTATACTAAACAATTGGTTAAGTGCTTAAATTTACACTGCTCTACTTACTGATAATAACGTCCTTCAAAAGGAATGTTATTGAAAGCTGCACATTGTTCTTCTCGGAAGTCCATTGATGATTCTGGGCAATCCTGAAATCCAAAAATATTTTCTAATAGTAAGCATTTTTAATACTACTTACAGTATTTTCAAGTGAAAAAAATATTTCTGAAATCAAAATCAATAAGAAATGAGAGACTTGGGTTTTAATATTCACTAAGAATGAAAAATGTTTACCTGAATATTACAGGAGAAGTATCTCTTCTTGCCTCCTGTACAGGTTGCACTGTAATCAATGCAAAAACTTGTTATTAATTTATTTTAGCTGAAATAATATCATTTCTTTGCTATAGTTCAGGAGTCTCAAAAGATAAAGGTTTGACATACATGAATTTCATTTTGAAAATCAGTTAATAGGTACTAAAATCATAAATAGATGAAAAGAAAATGAAAATCAATGACAATATACAAAGTAAAGAAAACTCAATTTTCAACTCAGTTATTTTAGTTTTATTTCTTCAATGAATATAATTTATGATAATATAACAAATGCAAAATTATTTGAAGTTGAGATAACCCTAGAATACAAAAACCAATACATTTTGAAAATAATTAATGGGGTTTAAAAAAATCAATATAATTTTATTTCATTGTCGTCAATATAATTTTGTTTACCCAGACCATTACAGATTCTGTTTTGTCATTATGAAAGATGAAGGCGAGAAGTGAAATATGACGGAGAAAAGAAAACCTATCAAAACACCAAATTACAGTATAATGAAAACAAGTGGGGGGAGGGGGGATTCAAGATAGCCATAGAATGACAATTGGTGTGAATGACGAGAGAAAGTATTCCCGTTTGAAACAGCATATGTACATCACCAATCTTTGATCAACCGAGAGCCTCACTGACATTTCGTAATTGTTTTTCAGTTACATTTCCCATAATTTTATCAATCTCATCTAAAAAAACTGTTTCATTGCTTTCTCACAAAATATCTGCAGATATGTAAATTAAATTATTTACACGTGTTAACTAATATATTAAGATAACAAGAGGTAATAATTAAAAATACGGATTCAATTGAATTCGGATATTCCCCTCAAATTCAAGTAGCGAATATTTGTATATTCCGAATGTACGTACTATCAAGATATTAACTGCCAGCCCTTTTGTCATCCATTCACCATCCTCTTCCATTCTTTTCTCCCTATCCTCACACTGGATCGTCCACCCTTCCTTGCGACGACTGATTACGTTCTTTCGGTTCTTTCGCCCACGAATTTCCCCTTTTAAACCACTCAACCTCTTGCTCACTGGCCCTCTCACTCGCCCGCTCATATCCCCCCCCCCTTGGTAGAACTACTCGCTCTCTCCCCGACAGCAAACTTGTCAGAAATCTCTGGCCAGTTGTCTCCCGAGGTCTGACCACCACCATGTTGGTTCACTGCTCAATCGCGGTAAATGCAGGTTCCAAAGCCGCGAGTTTCGTGTCTTGAGAGTGAGGGATCCCTGTGATTTTCAGGTCTGCCTGCGGCTACAATGAAATTAAAACAAGGCGTTGATTTGACAAAGTACTGCGTGAGGCGTGAAACCAGGCTTGATAGCGTAGTGATTCTCGCTCACACATACTCATTAAGGGTGAAGGGGAGGCTCCACGATACCTCCGCATCTCGTGGCGTCCGCCTCGCCTTACCTCGTGGTCAGGCACATGGTGCGCGCGCACACGCTCACACGCAACACACGCGTGTGCTCCCGCACACACACATGCACGCGCTCCCCCCTCCCCACCACGGCCGGATTTACCTACAAGCAAAACAAGCAGTTGCTTGGGGGCCCCCATTCTGCAGTGAAGAGCAGAAAAAAAAAAATTAGTGAAAATGTATTAATGGTAAAAAAAAATTTTAACACAAGTCAACATTTCTATAAAACATTCATCAGTTTTCACTTGTATCTTGTACAGGAAAGTACTTCTACTATAATACATTTTTTATTGAATTGAAAGATGGAGCTATTTTTTTCGGCGGAGGGGGAGGGAGGGCAAAACACAATTTTGTGCTTGGGGCACCGCACTACTTAAATCCGGCCCTGCTCCCCACACACGCGCCACACCCTCTCCAAAACACAACACACACACACGCCATACCCTCAATGTCCAAAGGCCGCGTGTGCTGTTTTTGAAATGTTTTGTAGATATGCACTGATCTGGCCAAATTTTCTTTCGGTTTTTGTGTAGCTTTGTGGTTTTTCCAACAAAATGAAGGTGGTGGTAAAGTTGACGTCAAAATTACAGATTTTTAATATCATTGACAATTGTTTGGTGTAATATGTTGGCAAAATTTATGATGACGTGGTGGAGACACTTGATTGGTAGCATTATGAGACCGTCTCATATTACTACCAGACTGTTTTAATGACTGTAAATTTTCTACAGATTGTGTTAGTCAATTGTGGATTCAGTGTATCTTGTGGAGATTGTGAGCCCACACATGACAATTTTAGTTGAAAATTTTGGAGCTGTTTTAAAAAAAAAAATGGCGTTTAAGCGTTACTCTATTAGCGAATTTTGTACCTCTTTTCACTATGAAAATGTTTGAGTTTTCGAAAAACTTCATTTAACGTCGTTTGAGATATTTTAAGTCGCAAATTCAATAGTGTTTACAAATCGCTGGAAATATGCATATTAACGGGTGAGAGATATTTCAAAAAAATTAATTTGTATAGATTTAGATTTATTTAGTCAAAAAACAGTAAAAGTTGTATTGACGTATGGAGGAGAACATAATCTGCGCACGTTTTCTTGAGTTCCAAAATCCCTTCCCATCATTTTAACTATAAGTAGTTGAAAAATGAACAAAAGTTAAAGATAAATAAATAAAAATAAAATCTTTTTGATAATCAGTATAGTCTGTAATTGTATAGAAATAGTTATGCAGCAGAAAAGATATCACTTTTAACTTAAATTTGTGAACCGACTTCAGTTGTTTAATGTCATCTGACAATGCATTGTAACGTAACGTACATGTTATTGTATGTGGATTTCTTGTAGTGAGCTGTTGATACTGACACTTGATGAATGTTATTTCTACAACGTGTGTTGTACTTATAAATATTAGTATTGCATGAAAATACGTTTCCACCGTTAAGTGAGTTTTGACAAATATTACCGATTCGTATATAAATAGGCAAGGCAATGGTAAGATTCCAAGTACAATGAAGAGAAGCTTGCAGGGATCATGCGGATGGAGTTTTTTCATAATTCGAATAATTTTCTTTTACGATCTAGAGGTCTGGGTACTACATGATGAGCTTCCCCAGAATATTATGCCATATCTGAGGCGGGAATGCACATTTGTAAAATACACGCAACGAGCTGAATGAAGGCTGCCAGAATTTGAAAGAATTCTGAATGCGTAACATAATGAACTTAATCTAGTGTTTAATTCTGCTATATATACATTTCATTTGAGGTTTGACTGAATTGAGAGACCTAGAAATTTTGCTTTTTCCGCATTACTTGCTTCTCTTTCATTATCCTTTAAAAGAACATTATATAGTATCAAGATAATGTGATTGTTTTTTTAGGATATTGCGCAATGCTTTAGTTTTGATACTTGCGTTCAAAATATCCTGTTTATTTTTCATTATTTTTGCCTAAACTATCACTTCCCTTAAATATTCGGAATCTTATTCTCGGAATTTTTTGAAAAAACAAAATAACACAGCAAAATGACCTTTATGTAATTTTTAACAGTGCAATTAGTAAAACACATGGGAAAAGTGAAAGAAAGAATTTTGAGCCATTTTGAGAAAACGGCGTTTGAGTGTTTCTGAAAATGCGGAATTTTGAGCTCATTTTTACAGGTAACGTTTTCGAGAAACTTTATATAACATTATTTAAAGCATATGTACTTATAAATACAATCATGTGAACAAATTACCGCTAATGTAAATGTTAACGTCGTGAGCGCCAAGTCAAAAAAATTACATTTTTGTAATTTGTGAAAAAACACTAGGATAGAGCAATATGTATATGTCAGCTTAAAGAGTGCGTTTAGAACTATCGTAACAAAAGTCAAAAGAAAAAATTGTAGCCGTTTTTGAGAAAATCCTGTTTTTATAATTTTTTTAAAATCGCAAATATTGTACGCAATGGATTTCAAACATTTTTTTTCGGTATTTCGGTAAAATAATGGTTAACACGTCTTATAAAATGGAAATGAAGAAAAAAAGCGTTGATTTTGTATTTAAACCGATACGAAATTTCAGAAAGGTCGGAAGAAATCCCAAAAGGTTTGTCGGAGGTCGGTAAGGTGGTTGCGCGGTGGTGGTTTCGGAGAGAAGAACTGCGAGTTCGAACTCCGCTTGGGAATCGATGTTTACCCCTCTGACGTGACGTGAACTCTCCCACCCTCCACGAATCACCTTATTCCATCTTTTTTGAACTGCGTCGGAGGCGCAAGAAAATGATATTTGAGAAATATACACACTGCACCTAGACAGTGCAGTTCCGTCGGTAACTGTGTGGGACCGGTGCCACCGAGTAGAGCTCAGTACGGCCATGCAGGGCCTCCGAACCAACGTTTGCTAACTAGGTAAGGCGTCGGGTCCCCTAATTCCACTAGTCAAGCACTTTTCAAGCAAAATGGGTCCCGCGGGCTACTCTTGTACGTTATAGCAAGAAAGACACCCAATGTAAGGGCCTACGACTCGTATCATGCAAGGAGAGAATTTCAGGTCAAGTAAGTGCCATACTGGCTGCATTTGGAAAATGAGCCGGCCTCAACCAACAGGCAGAGAGAGAGAGAGAGAGAAAGAGGCAGAACGAGAGGAAAAGAGGCATAGAGAGAGGGGCAGAGAGAGAGGGGCAGAGAGAGAGAGGGGCAGAGAGAGAGGGAGAGGCAGAGAGAAGCACAGAGTGAGAGACAGAGAGAGGCCGAGAGAGAGGTAGAGAGAGAGAGGCAGAGAGAGAGAGGGAGAGAGAGTGAGGCAGAGAGAGAGGCAGAGAGAGAGAGGTAGAGAGAGAGGTAGAGAGAGAGGTAGAGAGAGAGGCAGAGAGAGAGGCATAGAAAGAGAGAGAAAGAGAAAAAGAAAGAGAGAATGAAAGAGAAAACGAAAGAGAGAGAGAAAGAGAAAACGAAAGGGAGAAAGAGAGAGTCACAGGCAGAGAGAGAGAGAGAGAGAGGGAGAGAGAGAGAGAGAAAGACATACACACAGAGACACACACGAGTGTCACACACACAGATACAGAGAGACTGAGAGATACACACAGACCGAGTGAGAGAGAG